TTTCTTCTCTCCTTGAAGTGCTTTAGAAGTAGCAAACTCTAAAGCCTCTCTTGGGAACCCTATGAGTGTTTTTTCACTCCAATAATATGATGTACTTATTTCTGTCCAGCTGAACTCTTGCCTATCTTTAAGTTCTACTTCCTGCTTGGTTTTATTCAAAGACACAGATAAGACGTCAACTTCTTCCTTACAAAAATCATACATCTACTTTAAGACTATTATTAAACTTAATACTATCTTCCTTCTTCAAGGTACATACCTATGATTCCTGCAACACTGTTTATCACTTAATGCTATATCTTATGTTCTCTCAAACCTCTCCAGTCTTTCTACAACCCTTTACAAATGAAATGACCAAAACAGGATACTAACAAATAACAGACAATTGACAAATAAATACAACACAATACTAACATGGCCAAAAAATAATACCCTTTGAACAAAAGCAATCAGTCAACTATGTTATGGTCTCTTACTTACATTATGACAGAGGGCAGGAGTAGAAAATAATCACAATCTCAGAACTTGCAAAAGTTAATTCTCTAGCAGTGAGCTGCTGTCTCCTCACAACCCAGGAGACCCCCAATCTCCACAGCCACTGAGCATTTACAACCTCCCCACCCCAGGGAAGAAAAAGCATCCAAAAACCAAAAACCTCTTCTTACTATGAATTCACTGTAGTTATCTCTCTCAGGCCAGGCAGGGGGCCTTCACGGGGTCTTAAACTTCTTAGCTATCATCTCATTTCTCTTAGAGCCCAATTGCTAATTAATTATGCAATTGTTAAAACTACTTCTTATAATCTTTTATTTCCTTTAAAGTCAAAGTATCATTTTCCTGAGCCAGAGAAGAGGGAACAAGGTTGAGAAAAGATTAAGCTGGAAAGCAAAAAAAGAGAACTCTATTTTTTTAGAAAACTGAATTTAGCTGATAGGATTTGTCTTTCCATAATGTGAGCAAAATACTTACCTTGAAGATAATTAAGAGGCATTTGTGAATTCCAGAATAAGAAGGCTTTTACCAAAAAAATTAGATCAAAAAACCAGACAAAAATACAAAAAACAAAACTAATGATAAGAGGAGAGATAAGAGACAGGAATTAAAAAAAAAAAACACAAAAAAACAAAACAGACTGCAGGATACAGAAACAAGGCTATAATCAAGGGAAAAGAAAACAGAAATCTATCCCCAAAAAAGCAGCAGAGCTATGGATGCAAAATGTAATTTCATTTTGGGTTTCTTTTTAAAGAAAGCAATAATGTAGCTGTTTGTATTTAGTTTCAGGGAACTGAGAAAAATGGATTTCAGACCATCAATATACATGGGAGAGTATCAAATATTAAGGGCTTTTATGACAAAACCTTCTAGAAAATAAAGGATTGAGTCAGGAATAAATAATCATATAAAAGCACCTGTAATTAAACAATACTTTTCAAGTTGACGTTGGATTCTACACTTCCCTGATAACACACTGAACAGAGTTATACCATAAAAGTACAGGGAAGAAGAAGCTGTATGAGCTACTTCTAACTCTACCTCTCGGACCCATCTGGATCATGGCAGCAGGTAGCAAAATCCTAAGGGGTTAAAGTACACCCATCACCCAAGACCAAAAACTACTCCCACCCCACCTTGGCTCAATGGTTTTCTCCCACTGTGGTGAGGGTGGTTTTGGAAAAGCTCCTCAAATGCCAGGAAACACTGTAATACAAAAAGAAAAAACAATTCATAAGTACCAAAACTTAACTAACATTTTGGCTTCCCTTTCAAGGAAAACTGGTATAGTGGAAAAAACACCAGTCTAGGAACCAAGAAACCAAGTGTATTCTGCTTGTTGGGCACTCATTCTAAGATGTTTGTGGTACTCCAGGGGATTTGGTGGGGAGGGCACCACTCACTCACTCACTGCTAAGGGTTACTAAACTAGTAACTAGTAACTACTAGTAAACTAGTAGAATATATGCCAGAAGCTCCTGATGGCCATCTCTGTCACAAATTGGGCTGAAAATGAAGCCATCAGAGAAGCTAGCAGAACTAAGGGATGTAAAGAGACATCTCCGGTGATAACAACTGAAGAATCCTCTCCAGTTCCAGCCCTTCCTGCAGATATTTTCTCCCTTAAGTTAGTCTGTAATAGGTTTCTGTGACTTGCAAGTAAGTCTGGCCAATACACTTGGGTTCTAATTCCACACTGAACGTGGGCAAGTCATTCCTCATTTACTGGCCTTACTTAGTTCCTCATCTATAAAATGGGCTAGATCTGAGGTTTTCAAAACTTTTTTTAAGCAATAGAACTTTTTTAAACAAAAATCTTATTTTGATATCAAAAACTAAAATGATTTTATTCATATAAATGTATTTTATAAGATCAGATTTACAACATATACTTCTGACCAAAATTAATAAGAACAATGGGTATTTAAATCTCACCTTGAGACTGAAAATAAAGATGACTCTGTTAGTAGAAATGTATTATCAAATGTATGATATTTATCACATCAGTGATAAATGTATGATACTTATCATATCAAATGTATATTTACTATAATCACTGAAGTTAGTGAAAACAATGATGTGTTTTGATAAAAATGAAACTTTAAAATTAAAGACTAATGGTAAAACTTGAAAGCTTTTATTAACCTCCCAGGATTCAATTTATTTCTGTACTGTTTTGGTTGCACAGGAGTAAGACAACCCTGATTCAAAATGAATAGTTGCAAAGAATAACATGGTATTACTTATTCACCTGCCTTACCCCATGATATTATTTAATTAAAGGTAGAAAAACCTTTTAAGTTCTGCACAAAAAAAAAACCTAACAGCACAAGATTTTTAAAATAGATATCCAATTGGTTAAAATTTAGTACATAATATAGTTCAGCATTCATGGGTGTTTTTTTTTAATGATTTAAACCTCATTTAAAAATCAAATCTGAATCAAATGTTTACAGATTCCAATTAGTATCTTCACAGAACTCTAATAAAACAGCTAATCTCTAAACTCGATTAAGATTTTTAGTCAGATTCACATACACTCACTACCCATCAGAAACTGTAATGAAGCAAATATAAAAAGTTATAATTCCTCTTTTTTTATAATAAGCCTGCTTTAAAGGAAAGAAAAATTTCACCAATTCCTATTCACAATCTTAGAGAGTTATGAATACAGACAAATAATAAACTGGGTCAAATAAGACTATTACAATAATCTATTCAATCTTATTGAGAACCAACTTGATGGGGCAGATCATAGAAGGTGCTATAAAACATTCATTATGTAAGAGTGCCTGCTTTACAATTGAGATGAATAACTCTCCATGCCCAACCTCAAGAAGTTAACAGTCTAGCAGAGGATACAATACAGCTGACCTTGAACAACACAGGTTTGAACTGCACGGGTCCACTCATACACGGATTTTTTTCAACATTAAATACTACAATTGCAGTTGGTTGCATCTGGAGATGTAGAACTGTGGATTCGCAGAAACCGTGTATACCAAGGGCTGACTATAAATTATACTTGGGATTTTCGACTGTGCAGAGGGTCAGTGCCTCTAACCCACGCACTGTTCAAGGGTGAACTTTACATTCATTCATTCATTCAACAAGAGTGTCTCCTCAGTGCCACCAGCTAAAAAGAAACAGGGGCTAAAAAGTGAACAATACACATACTGTCCCTATCCTCTTAAGTTCAGACTTTAACCTAAAGGCAATAGATAACCAATGAAGATTTTAAACAAAGAGACCATATGATTAGGTTAACCTTTCTGAAAGATGGCTGGCTACTATAAACTGGAGATACTAAGCCCCAGGATAGAGAAACCAGTTAGGAACTACTACAATGCTGACAAAGTAACAGGAACTCAAAAGATGGAACAACAAACTCAGCTGAAGTATGTGAAAACAAAAAAACTTCAGAGGGTAGTGTTGCAGCTCAATCTTAAAAAACAAGGAGTACGCAGACAAGTAGAGGGAGTTTGTGCAATAAGAGAAAACCATAGGAAAGGCATGTCTGGGAAACCTCAAGTATTGATAGTTCTTCACAGTGAGTCTTGAATGAGGTAAAATCATTGCTAGAAAGGCAGATTAAGGAAAAGATAGTAAAGGATATTTTATAACAAAGAAACATCTCCAGGACACTGGGGAGTGCTTTTAAGCAGGGTGATAACATGACCAGGCTTACATTTTAGAAAAATTCTTCCAGGGACAGTAGCCTGAAGAAGATGACAAGAAGTCTAACCATCCAAAAAAGAATGTGTGCTTGACAACAGATAAACTATCTCAAAGTCCTAATCTAACTAACAATTTATCATGACAACCAAATATGGTCCAACCAAGTACTCTGAGCTTTAGAAACCAAGCAACTAGTACCAAGTTCAGGCCACAATGTATTTGACATGGCTTTGAAACCAAAAAAAAGGGACGTTTCTGCAGATAAAATACTAAAAATGTAACAATGGCAAAAGATAAATGGAATGAAGAGGAAAAAACAGCAACTAAGAAAACAAGGGTATAACGGAGAAAATTTTACTTCAGGGTAAGAGTTACTTCCACTTGTCAATTACATACAGATTCACTTCCTCTATGTAATAATAAATTGTGGTTCCAACAAGCAATTCAAAAGCCAAATTTAATTTAACGCATAACACTCAAGAAAATAACCAAACAAAAACTAGATTAGAAACAGCAAACTATAACAGAGGACCAGCTCTATACTAGCTAGCTAGCTTCTCACTGCTTAAAAAGAAATCTCTCCCTGTCTGGCTGGTCCATGAAGCATTATCAACTAAAAGGGTAAGGTAAGGTGAGGTGGAATAGGGCAGGGTGGGTAAAGGAGGACTTGCTCTTTCACAAAGCTTCCTTATCAATGAACTAGACGAGCTCCTAAGTGCTTTCATTCCAATTCTCTTTCTTTATATAACAAATATAACTCAGATTCAAACATGCCAACAGATACAACGAAGAATCCAATTATTTTATCTTAAGAAAATGAATCCTACCTTTCCGGGGTCATCCTTGGATCGAGGCACTTTAAGGAAACACTTGTTCAGCGACAGATTATGTCGTATGGAATTCTGAAATTAAAAAAGAAAGAAAAGCCATAAGGTCATTGGAATCCAAAAACCAAAACCCCCTTCAGAAACAGAATCAGAAACCTAAATATCTCTATGCACTGGAATATACAATTACAAATGGAATAAGTTTTTTAAATGAGCTTCAAATTTAAACCTTTCTGATTTTCAAATTATGAATGCTACAAAGGGGAGTAGCTATTGGAAAAGACAGTTTCTAGTGCATTTTGCGCAACTCCAAATAATGGACTATATGTCCCATTTTAAATGTTTAGTAAGACCTTTCAATGATGCAGGAAGATGTCTGTGATTAACGTTAAATACCAAATATAAAATTGTATGCATATTATGATTTTAATTGTGATATATATTTATTAGCTAATTTATTTATTCTTGGAAACAAGCCATAATGCAAAATGCTAAGAGTTATTCTACATGGAATTATAAGTGATGATTATTTTCCTCCATTCACTTTTCTGCAATGTTCAAATGATTTACAAGGCACATGTGTTACCACTTTTTAATGAGTTTAAAAAGTTATAAACAAAAAAATGCCACTGCTCCATTACAAGAGTACATAAAAACCAATTAGGTCCTCACTACAATATTTAAGAAAGAAAACCACATGGGAAGACACTGACTAGAGAAGCCAGCAAGAACACGTAGGTTCCTCAATGTAGCAAGAAAGAATAAACAACTTGGATGGAAGGAAAACGCACTTAGAGACCTGGAGAATCTGTGAAACAGGAAATCTTTCATGAATAAACAGGACTATGCCACAACTTTTACAGAAAATACCCAAAGGCCATTTCTTCTTAATTAAATGCTCTAAAATCCATTTCATAATTTTGTTTGTTCCAAAATGGCCAGGTATCTGGTGGAGGGGCTCCAATTGCATTTAGCCACTACTTAGAATTGGATGTTGGGTATGGGGTTATTTTTTGGCATAATGTCATTTTATTTTTAATATAAAATTCGGAACTCTAACAATGCCTACATTAAAACTTGCCTCTCATGAGGCAATACTGGGATTAAAGAAGTTTTTAAAAGATGACCAGAGAATGTAAATTCAAGCCTATCTTATTACCAAACATCAATTAAAACTTATGAATGGGAGTTCCACCTCTACCTGGAATGTAAACAGCTACAAAGACTGATGATCCCTCCCAAACAATGAGAAACCAATGGGTAAGCCAAAAAAAAAGTCTATTTTTAAGCCACATCAGAGAGCTGAGGTTGCAAAGCAGCCCAACAAATAAAATTCCTAAGAGGGATAAGCCCATTCAAGGAGAATGGGGACAAACTGTCTCACTTTTCAGCAGAATATGGGAGAAAGAGATGGCCACCATTCAAGCACCCAAGAAATTAGCTAAAATTTGAAAGGCCAAGCATGGTATCAGTTTAAAGTAGCAAGGACCTCAGACACAAGGGAAATTTCCACTCACTCTCAAGCTCAGAAGAAGCTCTTGGACCTTCACCGTATGCTCACAAGAAAGACTGGGGGCCGGAAAGGAAAACAGAGAAAGTCTCCTTTGTGGCATAAGCAGGAAGGAGGTAACTAATGGCCACGAGGGGGAAAAAAGCCACACCACCTTCTACAGATCTTACAAAGCAAAAAACTTAAGTTTGAGGTAGGGGTAACAAAACTTCTCACCCACAGGGCTCTGGCAAAGATTACTTCTGAGGAAAGAATGGAAACAAAGCCCTTCTGCCTCTAGGGAGGGATAGGAAACACTTTCCCAGGATACAGGCAAAGATCTGCTGATGGAGGAAGCAAAATCCTTTTACCTATGAGACAAGTGTCAGAAACTATCCAGGAGCCAGTATCCTACACCAATACACCATGCTGAGGTGGAGGGTGACTGTAGCTGGGAAAGGGACAGGAAACTCCCACGCAAAGGTAACTGGATAAGCAAGGATAACTAACCTGGCTGAGGGAAAAAAAAAACACTGAAAAAGCCCCACCCCCAAGTCCAACGGCCTGAATAAGACTAAGGCTGGATCAAGACACCCCCCCCCCCGCCAAGAAAAAAACCCACCAGCCCCTACCACAAGCCCAGCAGTGAATAACAAGTAATGACAACCTTCAGAGAGAGGAGGGGCAGGAGCATGGACAGAAACCCCTATCTGTAGCAAGGTGGGCAGAGACAAGTAAACCTAAAGAGAAAACAGGAAAACTGAGAAAACCCTACAGCACCCAAGCCTCCCACTCCAAGCACAAGGTAACAGGAGTCTACTGCAGGAGGAACGTAAAGTCTGTGGTATACTAAAGGCAAAGATACCAACAACAAAACCCAAATCCAGCTCAACTACTGATGAGTGTAATCCGACTCCCCACAAAAATGGCCTGTGAAAAAAGATGCTTGTCCATTTACAGGTACAAATAGTATTTACTTCTATCTCTACCATTCTTCTACACATGTAGCTGGAACTCAATCAAAAATTGTAAGACACATGGAAAAGCAAGAAAAAAGAAAAAAGCCCATTGTCAAGAGATAAAGTAATCAACAAAACCCAACTGAGAGATGACGCTATCAGACAAAAACTTTTAAAAAGCTATGACTAATATGTTCTGGCACCAACTAGAAAAAAGTGCACAACTTGCATAAAGAGATAGGGAATTTCAACAGAGATGTGTAAGCTATAAGAAAGAGTCAAATGTCAATAATAGAAATAAAAAACATGATAAAAGATAAAGGATTCCCTAGATGGTTCATCAGTAGACTGGACCCAATTAGGAAAAGGCTCAGGTTATCTTGAGGCTAGATCAATAGAAATTATCCAAAATAACACACATGCACATGAGCATGCACATATACACAAATACAAAAAAAAAAAGATAATCCAAGAACTGTGGAACAATACATGTAATTAGAGTCCCAGAAGGAGAAATGGAAAAGAATAGGGTAGACGAAAAATTTGAAGATGTAACAGACAAGAAGCATCCAAAAGTAATGCAGGACATCAAATCACAGATCCAAGAATTTCAGAGAACACCAAGCAGAAGGAATTAAAAATCCACACAACTATATTCATTATAGCCCAAAAGCTGAAAATCAAAATGAAGAGAACATCTTGAAGGGCAGCAAGAGAAAAAAAGAAAGATTATGTACAGAGAAATAAAGATTAGAATTACAGTGATGTCTCAAAAACCACGCAACTTAGAAGACAACAAAGTGACATCTTTAAAACACTAAGAGAAAAAAAAAGTCAATTCTATATGCAGTAAAAATATCTCTCAGAAATGAAGGCAAAATAAAGACTTCTAGACAAACAAAAGCTGAAAGAAGTCATTTATTGTACCGCCAGTTGGCTGGCAATATTGGAAGGAAGTTCTTCAGGCAGAAGTATGATACCAAATGGAAACCTGGATCTACAAAAAGAAATGAAGAGTTCCAGAAACTGTGAAAATGAAAGCAAATTTTAAAAATCACTTTTTCTTATCTGTAATGCCTTTAAAAGATAACTGTCTAAAGCAAGTATAACAATTATTTATGAGATTTATAACATGTAAAAGTAAAATGTACAATAACAATAACACAAAGGTTGGCTCAGGGGAATTAGAAGTACAGCTGACCCTTGAACAACACAGGTTTGAATTATATGGGTCCACTTATATGCGGACTTTTCCAATAAATACATACTACAGTACTATACAATCCAAGGTTGGTTGAATCTGCAGATGAGGAACCATGGATATGGGGGGACAATTGTAAAGTTATACATTCGACTGTGCAGGGGTCAGCGCCCCTTAGTCCCCGGGTTGTTCAAGGGTCAACTGTATAAGGTTTATAAAGTTCTTACACTACACATAAAATGGTATAATGAAGGTAAGAGTGGGATAAGTTAAAGATGTGGGTGGTAAACCCTAGAGTAATCATATCCTAAAACAAAATTTAGGAAGAGGTATAACTAATAAAATAATAGTGAAGATAAAATGAAATCATAAACAATACTCCAAATCCAAAAGAAGACAAGGAAAAGAAGGAACTAATCAGAAAAATTACCCATCTAAAAAGTTCAAGATGGGAAAAAACCAAAATCAAGATGGTCAGAAGAAGAAATCAAAATGGTCATGTTTTCTAAATGGCTTCACAGCGGAAGAACACATCTCTACTTAGATCTTCCTCTTCTACAAAAAGCTTAAAAGCTGGAAATCTTCAAGACTCTGACACTGTCCTTTTTTCACTTCTACATTTGCTGCCTAGGCAATCTCATCTACAGCCATGGCTTCAATAACCATCTGTGACCTTTCTCCTGAGTTAACACATATTTTCAACAATCTACTCGACATCTCCAGAAACACCTCCAACTCAACATGTTTAAAACTAAACTCAATCTTTATTCCCAGTGTGGTCTTCTGCCAGTTTTCCCTTCTCTATTTAAAGACAGTTATTCAAGGGGGAAGGATGAGCTGTGACAGGGCGAGAGAGAGGCATGGACATGTATACACTAACAAACGTAAGGTAGATAGCTAGTGGGAAGCAGCCGCATGGCACAGGGAGATCAGCTCGGTAGTTTGTGACCACCTAGAGCGGTGGGATAGGGAGGGCGGGAGGGAGGGAGATGCAAGAGGGAAGAGATATGGGAACATATGTATATGTATAACTGATTCACTTTGTTATAAAGCAGAAACTAACACACCATTGTAAAGCAATTATACCCCAATAAAGATGTTAAAAAAATATATAATAAAATGTTTAAAAAAATAAAGACAGTTATTCATATAACTGTTCCAATCAGAAACCTGTAAGACCTCCTTAACTCCTCCCTCCTTCTCACCATCTAAAACAAAAATCTGTCACCAAATCTTGTAGGTCTACCTTCAATCTACCTACTTTATCCATCTCTTCTGTTACTACCTCAGTCCAGGACACCAGTCTCACCAAAACTAGTACAACAGCTTCCTAACTAGTGTCCACCCTCTACCTTCCTCTCTTTACCCCTCCTCCACCATTCTCTACCCAACAGGCAGTTACCTCTTCACAAGGCAAATCTGACATTACTGTTTCAATTAAAACCTTTCAGTAACTTCTCATTGCACTTAGGATAAAACCTAAAATCCTTAAAGCCTCCACAAGACTCTTCATAATCTCACCCTATCCTGCTGTCATACTCTCTATACTAACCCCCTCCAATGGTCTCTCTCACCTCTAGGCTTTCTATTTATTGCTCCCCCTGCAAAAGTTACTGTTGCCAGCCTTCCTCTATCCCTTTCACCCAACTGAGTCTACTTAACTTTCAATTCATTCTTGGTTTAAACATTAGTTCTTTAAGGAAGTCCTTTCTGACTTTCATAAATTATTAGCTTAGGCCAAGTGTGGATTTCTCACCACACAGTAATTTGTTTAATGGTCTTCCTCCTCCATACTGTATTCTATATCAAAATATAAGTAGGCTCCATAAGGGCAGGGATCTTGTCTACCAACTCAGAACCTAGAATATAATGCTTTTCATATGGGAATCACAAATCTGCTGGAAAAAATACCAAAAGCATATTTAGAAAATAAAAACACCTGGAGAGATATGAGAGCCAACACATGTATTTACAACACACAATGAAGAAAAGAGATGACTTCAGACCTCACAACTTGAGGAGACACTACCTCTAACAACCCTAAGAAAAGAAGTTGGGAGAGTAGAGGTAGAGATAACTAGGATGGCAGAGAGTAAGCTGGAGGAAAATGGCCCAGGTTAAATAACTGATAATGGCATACTGCTTGGCCTTGAAAACCCAGCTTCAAAAGTAGTTTCTCAAAAGTACAGTCTACTTACACCGGAATCACTTGAGATGAATTTTAATGCAGATTCCTAGGCTCTAAGATGACTAATTCAAAATCTGTGGAGTTGTGACCCAGAAATCTGAATTTAAAAGCACTCTGATTTTTATTTTCACTTGAGTTTAAACTGGCATCTCTCATTCAAATCAACCACCACATTCCCACCTTTATTTCTCTTCTCCCACTGTGAGAGCCCTGACTCCCCAAAACACTAATATACGTACTCATTTGTTCTATCCTACCATGCACATAAGATTGCTTCAGAATTGCTCCCAACTCCCAACTTCTTTTCTTGTGGTCACACAAGGTAGATACTGCCTCTAGCAAATTACCACTACCAAAGACAAATCTACTAAATGAAGTCCATGATTCTTTTGTAATTCTTTTCAACCTTGGTGTGCTCTTTTCAAAACTTCTTGAATTTTTCTGTGTGATTATGTTATACATTTGATATAAGGCTTATTTATTTCTACTTATATTCAGTTTTAAGGTTTTCTTTTTTCATCCTTTTTGATTTCCTAACATATTCTTTTGAATGTGTAAAACACTTAGATGTTTCAACTATATAAAAAGGTACACTCACAATCTTATTCCCTTCTCTATCTCTTCTACCTCAGTTCCGTCCATCCCTATAGGTAACTATGTTTACTATATTTCTAGTTTATTATTCCTAACTTTCTTTTTACAACAATAAGCAAACACATAATATATTCTTATTTCTCTTTTTTCTTCACATAGAAAAGTAGAATACACCCCCACATGCCCATACCACTCTTTTATATTTTTCTTTTTATTACCCTAAATTCCAGTAACTTAATAGGTTAATTTTCCTTAGTAAGGTGAACAGCATTTAAAAAATTCCTTTTCCTCTAGTTTAGATCACAAAATCATTCAATTATGGAAATTCAAAGAGTTTTTATAACTCTTATGGACTATTCAAAGAATTGTTTTTAATATGTAATCTCCCTTCAATGCCCTGGCACAAAATGAAAGGGAGTTCATCTAAATATTAAAATTCTATTTGAATCCTTTTAAGTGACCACGACAACATTTTCTCCTCTGGGTGACTTCAGTTGGCTCTACATTTCTGGAAAGGTGGTTGACAACTGCTTTAGGATCTTTCTTCCATCCTCTCTTCAAACAATACAAGCTAATTTCACAAGTTCTATATGACCTTCCATTTTCACCGAACCCATCTCTTCCATACCTGAAGAAGAAACAGTAAGCAGCAAGTTGTACAAGTAATGCTAAACAAATCTTAGGACAGTGAATGGGAACTAAAACATGAAAACAGAGACAGGACCTGAGCAAAGGAGAAGATAAACCACTTTCCATTTGTTTCCATGTGAGATGTTCAAAATATTTCTATGTTTACAAAAATAAAATTTAAAGTAATCATGGCAAGTTCTAGGCTCCTAAAATTGGGTGGAAGAAACTTTTTTAAAAGAATAATTATGAAACTGCAATCCCTGGGAATATTAAAGGTCTGCCTAAAGCAACAGACTGGACCAGATAATCTCCCTGGCGTATCTTTTAGTTCTAAAAAGCAACATTATCCTTCTCAACCTATTCCCATTTTTCGCTTTCCATCCTTCCTTCTTCATTACATCCAAACCATGTATCTTCCAGATGAAACTGTATCACTACTTCTAAACCAGTTTCAGACCATAACTTGGGGTGGCCAGCAGCAAGAAATCCAGCAGACTAAATCTGGCACTCTCAAGGTGGACTTAGATGAAACAAGATCCCTGAACAAAAATCTGTAAGTTCTATAATAGAGTTATTAATAAAACATATGGAAACACAAAAGATTAATTCTACAGGGAAAAGAGAGATTACATATGAGCTTAAAGAATAAACAGAATAATGCCAACTGGACAAAGGGCAAGAGAAAGTCCAAGGACAAGTAAGAGAAAAACAAAAGCAAGAAAAATCAAAATATTTATTTCTAGGACAACTAATAGGCTGGAATATGCAGAAGAAACAGTACATGAGAGGGAACTAGCAAAAATTAAAGCTAGGAAAGAAAGCTGGGACCAGGATTCTGGCTTTCATTCACGCTGCATTTACTGAGGCTTACTAAATGGAAGTACTGTGCTAGTGCATGGAATAGAGGAAAAGATACAAAAAAAATCCCTTCCCATAAGGCACTTGATTATCTGGCATGATATACAGCACATATCACTGGTGCACAGTAATTCGGTAAATGCCTTTAATAAGTATATTCAAACAAAAAAGACAAAGGTGTTGAGACATGAAAGCTTAAGAGAAACAAGTGGAACTACCAGCTGATGGCAGACCTAAAGCTCTGTAAGTCCCCTTCTTCCATATGCACACACACAAATACACACACCCCACACTGCACACAACTGGATAACTCCTACATAAGAATATGAAAGTAAAATGTGCAGATACAAAAGAAAACTGAATTATTTGTCATATAACATAGATTAGGTAGGTAACTAATCTGAAGGTTCCTCAAAAAGCTTAGATGAGGGGCTAAGGCTTCTTTAAGAAGCAGCTGATTCTAGAGCTGAGGCAGGAAAGGTACGAGATGAGCCTGGAACATCTTGTGGTGCCAGAAAGTTAAGAAGTGGTAAATAAACAGAAGAACTCTACTGTATCAAAGGGCACAGGAGCCAACCTGTAAGAGCTCCCAATGCCAAAAGCAGCAAAAATCTGAGCAACAAATGACAGCACAAAAAATAAAATAAATATCCATGAGTGTATACTATTACAAATATATGATTGAATAAATAAATAAAAGGGGAAGAAGGGACAAGGCTTCCATATTAATTGGGAAGAATCCCAATTAATATAGAAGGAATAAAGGAAAAGAGAAAACCACCACTAGAAAACAATAAAAACTGCTGTAATGATCTACCAATGAACACTAAAATTAATGAACAAAAATTTAAGAAAAACAGGGTACTGCAGGCTGTCAAAGTATCTCCCCCAAAACATTTCATAATTTACAAAGTGATAAATAGTAATTTTATAGTGGAGAAACCTCGCAGACACCACCTTAACCAAAGAACCATGGTGAACATTACCAGTAATATGACATCAAGTTCCCCCTGATATGACTGATAAACAGAGAAGGGCACATCACCTCTGCATTATTCTTCCCCAAAATGCATTACCTCAGTCTAACCGAGAAAATATCAGACATATCCAAACTGAGGAACATTCTACAAAATACCTGGCAAGTACTCTTCAAAAGTGTCAAGGTCATAAAAGACAAGAAAAGATTGAGGGACTGTTACAGATTGGAGAAGACTAAGGAGACATAACAAATGACAGCTAAATGTAATGTGGGATCCTAGATTAGATCCTGAATTGAATCCTGAAACATAAAAAAACAGTGGGAAAAACTGGTAAAATCTGAACGAAGTCTGTAATTTACTTAGTAGCTAACAGTACTGCTTAGTCAAAAGTATTAATTTCTTAGTTTTGATAATGGTACTATGGTAAATAAGGTGTTAACAAAGAGGAATTGGTTGAAGGATATATGGGAACCCTTTGGACTACTTATAAAACTCTTCTATAAATCTAGAATTCTTTCAAAATATAGAGTTTTTAAAAAAATCTTTGATGATAAAAACAGTACTAGCTGCAATACTATGCTGCTTTTTTTAAACCTCAGACACACTATCAACTTAACTGAACTGTGGGTATTGTTTTCTAGTGAATGCTACATTATCTCTGCTCCAATACTTTATGCTATGTCAGTCCTCTAATATAAGAAAGCTCTAACAAATTAATATTCTACCCAAAATAAAGTTATTCATCTAATTTAAAACATTTAATTTCCTTTTTTAATCCTAAAAATGACTAGTACTCAGAATTTCATCTTTAATTATATAAGCCTCCACAAAGCTTTATCTTCAATAAAAGCCAGTATTGTTATTGTTTACAGCATAAAAATAAAAATTTAAATAAAATCCTTACCTTCCATCCACTGCCAGCCTCTCTATAATATGGGAAGTTATCACAAATCCACTGATAAATCTCACTTAGAGTCATTTTCTTTTTGGGTGAGCTATTAATTGCAAATGTAATGAGGCTGGCATAACTGTATGGAGGCTTCCCATCTTTGTGCTGTTGGACTTCTTCCTGGTCCAGAGTTGTATTGGGGTCAAGAAGTGTATTCTTCTTGGAAATTCCTGTTCCATGTGCATTTTGTGTAGCATCAGATTTTTGGATGGCTGCTCTCATGGTGAGCTGTGGTAACCAGTCCATAGATGTTAGGCTGCTCTCCAGTTCAGATGTCATCCTGAAGGTAAATAGACTCCTTAGTCAATATCAAGGAAAGAACCCCTGCTTCTCAAAATATCCAATATTCACAAATCTAGGAGTTCCAAAGTGAGGGAAAGCCTGAGTTAAATCTGGAGGAAAAAGATTGAGTATATTAATGACCAAACCAAATATTTTAGGGATCAACATTTCCAATCTTTTTTCTTAATTTCTTCCTCTCCAAACACAACAAATTTGGTTTTAAACTGTTTAAGAGATAGAATAATACATACACACAAAGTGATTCTGAGGCCAGTTTTCTTAAAAAGACTGTCACTTTAAACAGGGAGACAGGATCATAGTATGAATAAATCTGTCTGCAGTCCAGCTCTTTACTCACCAACACTGCAGGCCCTTTTAAAACTTAAGATTGTATATCTGGCATTTCTTTTACACAAATTTTAGGGAAATCATACAAAAGAATACCAAAATTAAAGTGTAGGCAAGAGGTCAGAGAAGTAACTGAGAAATTTACATGGAGGAAAGAAGGTAAAGTTGAGCAGGTGGGAGATAGGAAGAGTAAAGCGGGGTAGACAAGAATAGTAAGGAGACAAGCTAGCTGGGGGAGTTGACTGAAAAAAGAAATGCAGACTCAAGGACACTGATGAACTAGAGAAAAGGAGAATAGGCAGTGCCAGGAAGTTTAAAAAAAAAAAGTCAAAGAACAAGCTTAAGAAAACTAAAGATCTGGGAGTGTAGGATATGAGATAAAATCACATAAATGGACAGCAAGAAAAGAAACATTAAAAACTCAAGGACAGGTTTACAAAAACATCCAGTGATCTGGATTCTGTAATCTATTTCTCTCCAAGCCTGAAAAATTCAAACCATTATCACCCAAAGAAAGAAAAAAGAAAAAACAACATCTGCCAGGTTAACACAAATTCTGGAGAAAGAAGGAAGCTGCTCTAAGAATGGAAGATAAAAATATAGAAACAGGGCTTCCCTGGTGGCGCAGTGGTTGAGAGTCCGCCTGCCGATGCAGGGGACACGGGTTCGTGCCCCAGTCCGGGAGGATCCCACATGCCGCGGAGTGGCTGGGCCCGTGAGCCATGGCCGCTGGGCCTGTGCGTCCGGAGCCTGTGCTCCACAACGGGAGAGGCCACAACAGTAAGAGGCCCACGTACCACAAGTAAGTAAAGTAAGTAAAGTAAGAAAAGTAAGTAAGTAAGTAAAGTAAGTAAAGTAAGTAAGTAAAGTAAGTAAGAAATAAATAAATAAATAGATAGATAGATAGATAGATAGATAGACAGATAGATAGAAACAAAGATTGACACCTCACACTGGAATGGCGAACTTTCAACAAAAGGTACAAACTTTCCTATCCTGGGATCAAAGAAGCAGGAAAAGTGAGCCTGACAACAAAGCAGAGAGGAATGAAAGGCTTCTAAGTGATATAAAAATAAAGGGAAAAAGAAAACAAAATAAGAAACTTAAAGTATCTCAGTAAAAAGAAAAAAACTGTGTCTAAGAATCCCATATATACCCTTCATTCCAAACGGCTGCAGGCAAAAAGCAACCTGGAGTATGTGCTTAGGATCTGAACTTCTGGGAGGCAATGTAGAATTAATTAAAAACACAGGCTCTGGAGTCAGGCAGACCAGAATTCAGGTACTTATTCTACCAGTTACTATCTGTGAGACTACAAAAGTGTTACTGTCTCTAAACCCCATCTCATCTGTAAAATGAAACAATAATAGTACCTATGGTTAAAATATTACTTTGAGAAATAAATGGGATAACTTATGCATAGAAGAAACATTCAATAAGTATTAGTTAATAATATTACTCTAGGAGTATCTTGGGAGGGTACTAATGAACCATAAAGTAAATAAGATTAAGCAATAGCAATTATAAATCAAGAGCTAGCCATGAGGATTCTATCTGCATTGCCAGTATAATATTAACTACTGGCAATGCAGATAGAATATTTTCCAATATTTTGACTAACAGTTTTACATTTTTCATTTTCCCTCCCCATCTCTGCTGTATGCATTCCTCTGAAACCTGAACTTTAAATTCCTCCATATAGCACCTTGCTCTACAATCTCAGCCAGAAATGCTTGTTCCCACCATGAAATAAGTGATAGAAACTTGTGGAATAAGAAGCCAAGATAATTTAGAGATCACAGAATGTCAAAGAGTGGGCAAAGTACCCTAGAGATTAGAGAACAAGGCCTCCAATCTAAAGATGAAAAACTAAGGTCGGGCTTCCCTGGTGGCGCAGTGGTTGAGAGTCCGCCTGCCGATGCAGGGGACACGGGTTCGTGCCCCGGTCCGGGAAAATCCCACATGCCGCAGAGCGTCTGGGCCCGTGAGCCATGGCTGCTGAGCCTGCGCGTCCAGAGCCTGCGCTCCGCAACGGGAGAGGTCACAACAGTGAGAGGCCCGCGTACCGAAAAAAAAAAAAAAAAAAAAACCAAGGTCTACTGAAGTTAGACTTGTCCAAATTCACACAAATAGTTAACAGCAGAACTAAAACCAGAGCTCAGATCGCCTGATGCCCAATCCAGCAGTTTTTCTACCATACCTTACCTGAAAAATTAAAATAATAGTACCTACCTGTCACTGATATAAAGTACTCAGAACAGCGACTAGCAAATAGTAAAGAGTCAATAAATGTTAGCTACTGGTAGTGGTGATAACAGTAGTTGCTGCTATTATTCACATTTTATTCTATGAACATTGGCTATTATTATACCATGCTATCATCCTATATGCCTTAATTAAGCCTCCACTGAGCAGCTTTATTTTGTTCAAACTCCCAAAGCAGCCAGTCACATACATTTTCAAAGATAATGTATAAGTACATTCCAAATTGGAATATAACTGATACAGCAGATGCTCCCTGTTGAGAACCATCTTTAACTTCTGTTTCCTTCCCCCAGTGCCACTAACTGAGACTTTAGGAGAGTCTCAGTAATATAACATGAACACACACTAAGTAGGTACTTAATACTGTTATAAAAATAAACAAGAATTTATAATTACACATATGTACAAGGCTATCCTAGAGTAAAATTTTATACACACAGCAAGTATGATAAAATTTCTGTCCTCTAGAAACCTGTACTCCAATTAGGAAGGTCAAACACAAGAAAGAGCTGGAAAAGAGCTCTGGGTGCTGCAACGGCTCAGAAAAAGGTGGAGGACAACATGGGCTGCAGCCTTAAGAGGTAGAGAAGGAAGAACTTTAGCTAAGACTTAAAGAAAGTTAAGATCTAAATAGGCTGGAAAGAATTTGGTGCCTAGCCATCAAAGGCATCATGAGTAAGAATTATTCATTGAAGTAGAGTATAGAAATCTTTCTTAAATTTAAAATCTGAAAAAGCGGGGCTGCTGTTTTCTTTGCAATTTGTTATATTTTACATATTCTTGGTAGTGAGGTAAAAAGTGCCTCTATTGTTGCCGCTTAGGCTGGTTATTGCAGTGGTTCTCCACTGAGAACACAAAAAGTGACCATTAGATTTGACCAGATCATCAAGTAACTTTAGAAAGAAACCTAGTGGAATGGTGATGACAGAAGTCCACTTGTATAAGAGAACAGATGGTGGCAGATTTAAAAACAGCATGGGAGGCTCTGAGGAATCTGGTTATGGAAATCTGGTTAAGAAATGTCAGGCCCTCATTACCTCACCTCATTCCAAAAGCTTCCTCGCTGGCCTCCTAGGCTCTGATTTCTCACCACTCCTCCCTGCTAATCACCTCCAGAGTACATGTATATACTCCAAGAGAAATGCCAGCAATGTTTTCACGTGACTGTGCCCAAAAACTTTAAATGGTTCCCCTTCTCGTATTATACTAAATCTGAATGCATTTTCAACTACTTTAGCTTCATTAACCTTTTATTAATCCTTCTCTATTAATTCCTAGAGCAATTATAACCTCAGTTTGGCTTTACCATGCTGTTTCACATGTATAACTGGAACATAAGCTTTCTACCCTCACTCCCTTTTCCCCCACCTCCCCATTGAGGATAGTGACCATACACTAGTACTTCAGATGCTACCCAACACCATGCCAGGTACACATTATCTGAAAAATAACACAGTATTTGGATAAGGAATGAGTCTTCCTTTCTGGAATGCCTTTTCCTTCCCACTCTGCCTAGCTGGCTTCTACTTTTTCATCAAGACTCAGACCAAACACCTCCCCCTCCAAAAAGCCTGATCAATCCACTCTTCCCATTCTCCATCTCCTAAATTGAACTAGATCCTACCCTCATTGACTATAAATACTTCTATCACAGAACCTACACAGAATTAAATTACCTTTATCTACCTCTCTCCCATGAGGCCATGAGCTCCTTAGAAGAAGGAACTTTCTTTTTCTTTTCTGTTCCCACAATGCCTAGGAACACAGTAGGTAAAGGGTCAATAAATGGTGGTCAAATGATTGAAACAGTGACTAGCCAATGAATGTGTGGGTGTGTTGCTCCCCAAGCAAACAAGACCAAACACATTTAAAAGCTAAAAGGAAGAGGTGAAAGAGGACTCAATAGTATGAGGTAAGGATAACCACAGGATAGAAGTCCTTTATGAACTGGAAAAAAGCATGACTCAGCACAGACTGACAAGTTAGTACTACACAGGAACAGAGAGTTCTGCTGGAAAAGTAGAGAAAAATGGGAAGATGGAAGCCAAAGATAAGAAGATAATGTTACTTGTGGGATAAACCAAGGCATGAAAAAATTATGTCTGAAGTTCTTAAATCTATGATGGTATCTACTGCTTAAAAGAATAAGGAATTTTTTCTGCATACAATGAAAAGGTAAAGAGCATCCAGATATAACAACTCCACACTAATTTATGACATAAGAGGAGGGAGGGGGGTTCTGACCTCACTTAATGAAATTCTGCCACTGATAAAATCCCAAATATGCATTTTAGCTACTTTAGCACATTGCTTGGCTTCCCTCTGTAACTTCCCTAACAACTGAGGAGTAGCCAAGGCTTACACAGGAAGTTTTCAACAGGATAA